TTCCCCCCCCTCACTTCGTATTTTGGAGGATGTTTAACAAGGGAGACGGAGGGGACAGCTCAGCTGGGGGGAAACAAAGGCGCCTTCAGTGCTCGCCCCGCGCCACGCTGCGTGTGCCCCAGCTCAGAGCTGGCTCTCGGAGCGTTGCTGATGAGCTCAGCTGCCAGCCATGCCAGGCGACAAACCTCACTTATCAGGCACTCTCGATTCTTGTGCGCGGCGGGGTCTCCTCACCCCCCCGTCACGCACGGCACGCCGCCTGCTTCGTCACTATTAATAGAAACCCACTTGCCCTTTTGCCCTTGACTGGTCCAAAGCCTTGACACAGGAGCTGGTGGCTGTGACGGGAGATGTCCTACACATGGCAGGTGATGGGGATGCTGGTGAGCACCACGACATCAGCTTCAGGGTGCTGTGGCAAGCTGATGTAGGGATGGTTCATGGTCCCCATCTCCTCCGTGGGTGCTCGTGGCCAGCTGAGAGCCTGCTAAGCAGGGGCAGCAGGAAGGTGGGTGTCTCCCTAGATGCTTGCAGGTGCTGGGTTGACAGCAGGGCATCTTGCTTTTTGTCCTAACTGCTTCCTTGCTAGTCCCTGCCCCACTAAGCCGTGCAGGGGAGGATGTCTCACCTGGCCTGGAGACCACCACCACATTGCTGAGCAGGAGCCTGCTCCCATCCTGCCTGCGCAGCACTCTGCAAACATCCCGCAGAGGATCTGCCCCTCTTCCTTCCCTTCCTGCCTCTGCAGAGGAGCAAGGAGAGGGCCATGGGAGCCCAGTGCTTACCCTTGCTCATCAGATGCATGAGGCTCTCCGGATCCCACCCCAGGGTGCATGCTGGAGGGGGGCAGTGAGCGGAGCATCAGCAGGACCTGGGTCCCATGGCTGCCTGTCTGTTGTGGGTGTTTTTCCAGCTCAAGGAGCAGGAGCCCCACTCTCTTTGTGGTTATCCTCTCCTTCCCCATAGGTTGGGGGATGCTGCCAGCTCCCTAGCCTTGCTCACTCCTTCTGGAGCTGTGCTGAGGCTTCTGCCCCTGCCTGGGGGCTACTTGTCCTGGTTCAGCCTGCCCATGGGAGGTGGGTGCTGGCAAAGCTGCTCTTGCCGAAAGGGCTGAGGCTGCTGTTTAGCTTGGCGCTGGGGAGGGAGGAGGAAGCAGAAGGTCTGGGAAGATAGAATCCCATCGGCTGGGGCGGCAGGAAGAGACTTATGAGGTGCATCCTGCCTCACGTCCTGGGGAGGTGGTGATTTGGGGCTGGGCACGGTGTCTCCTTGCCCGGGGGCTCATCTTGGCCAGGCAATGATCCGCATCAACCTACTCATGTTGGGCTCCCCTTCAGCCAAAAACCCTTGAAACAGCAGTTGGTTTCACTGCTCTGTCCTTGCTTTGGGCAGCGGTTCCAGCCTGCTTCCCACCTGTCCTGGGAGTCTTGCTCTTTGCTCCAGGCCGTGGCTCACAGGGCTGGAAAGTGAGCACCCAAAATCCTGGGTCAAACCCATAGCTGCCCAGTTTTTGACAGGTGTTGGGCAGAAAGGATGTGGTGTTTGGATAGGGCCCAGCAGAAGCTTGTTAAAGAACATGAGTAATGAGGATCCCATCAGCTGCAACAGCACAGCGTCTTGCCCTTCCCCTGGGAAACATGCCCCTTGCCAGCCCTCACTGCTGCCTGGCTCTGCTCTGGCAGAGCCATTCCCTTGGCGGAGCCCAGAGGGGCAGCATTAGGGATGATCACAGCCTGGGCAGGGTGTCCCCAATGCTCCGTGCTGCTAGGGCACATGCTTTACCCTCCCTGCAAGCCAGCCCCATCAGTCAGCACGTCTGAGCTGCCTCTGTGGTCACCTCTGGCCTCTCCTCCTGTCCCTGGAGACCCAAATCCAGCTGCATGCTGCCCCAGCTGTGCTGCAATGACTTTTGGTCGCTGCCAAGAGAAGGGATCCCGGTCACGCTTGCACTGGAAGAAGCTGCAGCCTTTTTTTCCACCCTCTGTAGCCTCCAGAGCTGCAGATTTGCTGTTGTCCCTGAGGTGGCCTCTCCGATGCATCCCATCTTCTGCAAGCACTGGACCCTGCAGGAGCTACCCTGGATGCCAGTGGAGCTGGGTGGGTGCATGGTCCTGGGTAAAACAGGAGCTCAGTTTTGTCCTAGCCTGCTCGGAGGAGATAAGGTGCAGGAGGAGACCTGGGATGAGGATGTCAGTGCACATGCAGAAATGGGGGTGTGGGAGCTCATGAGAGATTTGGAGTCCAGAGTTCACCTCGTTCAAATTCTCCCCATCCTTCTCATCCCTGGCCAACATGTTTTCCCAAAGCTGTTGGTCAGCTGCTGCCAACATCATAAGTACTGCTTTCAGTGATTAATTTTTTTTGTAGCCCTGCTCTGATACAGAAGCACCCAAGTGTTTTCTGGAGCCTTGCTGCATGGGTAACCCTCAGCTGCAGTGTCCTTTTGCTTCGTAAAAACTAGCCCATGAATCACCACATCAAAGAGAAAACCCACAATTTTATGTGTCGTGATGGTGATTTGCAGTGAATTCTCTTTTCCTGCTTTTCACTGGGCTCTCCCCGTCTCCCCTGCCTGGTTCTACCTGCCACGCTGGTGCTGTGTCCAGGTGCAGCAGCAGCCCAGGAGCTGGCGGGTGCTGGGATCCCACACGCTGGAAAGCGGACGAGCGGTGGCTTCTGGCGCAGTTCCTCTTTGCCAAGATTTCAGCTGCTCTGACTCTCTTGGCCACCTCTGTGGCTGTGTGTGTCGGACCAAGTCTCACCTAACACAGAGGCAAGTGGAGAGAGACCCTCCTGTGCTCCCCGTCCTCTCCCCGGGCACCTCTCCCGCTGCCTGTGTGGGGCAGGGACTCCATGCCTGGAGGGAAGAGTGGAGTGGCCTTGAAGCAGTGTGGATGAGCTGGGATGATACAGGGGAGGAGTGACAGCAGGGCAGAGGAGCTGCTGATGGTGGGCGTGGGGATGAAGGCTCTGGCCTGTGTATGGGGACTCTGTGGAAGTGACACTGGGCTGGGAGGACACGGGTGGATGAGCACAGCAGGGGAATATGAATGTCCCCCAGCAGGCGAGGAGTGAGAGGACGTCTCCCTGGGTGGCATTGCCAGGTGGCTCCTGGGATAGCATCTGGGTTTCCTTTCCTTCCTTCCTTCCTTCCTTTGGTCACCACCCAGTGCACATCACAGGGAAGGGGGCACCAGCAGCAACGATACGCTGTTGGGTGGACAGAGGTGTAGTTTTATCTGCATGGAAAAATACATGTGCTGCGCCCTTTGATAGTGGTCCAGTAGCCCTGCAGAGCTGGTGTTTCCGTTCGTTGGCTGTATCCTGGCGTCTGCGTGCAGGTGGAAGAGCTTGTGCATGCAAGGAGCACGTGTACACTTAGCAAACACTGCCTGAGCCATGCTAGGCCAGCTGGGAAAGACCTCCATCCTGGGGTCTTCCACACATTCCAGCCCCTTCTGCCTTGTCTCAACCCCAGCACCCCTACACCACTCTGGCTGATGGGCTTTTTCCTGCTTCCTGCAGTGCTGGACCAGCTCCTGCCAGAGCTCAGCATCTTACTCAAGCTGTTGGACCACGAGTACCTGAGTGCCACCACGCAGGAGAAGAAGCTGGCTGTCTCTACCATCCTACAGAAACTGCAGCCGCCAGCAGGTCTGTCCCGCTCCCACAGTACCCGGTGTCTGTCCCCAGGGGCAGTGGGTGTCCCCAGCAGCTGCCCCGGGCCAAAGCCCTCAGTGGGGTAGGGAAAACCATCTGCAGGGCAGGGAAGAGCTGCCTCTGTGCCCAGTGCCCAGCACCTGGTCAGCCCTTGGGGTGCTTTGCTCCCTGCTCTCACTTCCCAGCTCCTCCCAGCCCTGGGTGCCGGGACTGGTGTCAGCCCTGCTGTGGCTGCGGGGGGGCTGCTCCCGGCGGAAAGGCTGCTTCGCAGAGGTCTTCCTGCCACCGGTTTCTGCTGAGCACAGGGGTTTCCGCGGGAAGGCCAGGAGGGCCGTGCACCTGGGGCTTCACAGCCTTCCCACTTTCCTGCCCTCCTTGGGGCAGGCAGCAGCATCCTTGGGGTTCCTCTGCTCCCTGGGTGGCTGCTCCAGAGGAGCACCCCATGGCACGATGGGGTGGGCTGGCCTGTGTCCTTGGGTTGGTGTCTGCGGGGAGGAGGGTACTTGCCCCAGCCGCCCTGCCCACCCCCAGCCTGAGAACATCCCGTCTCTCCCAGGGAAGGATGTGGACTACATGTATGTCAACACGGCGTCCCTGAGCAATGGCACCAGCTTTGTGGAGTCTCTCTTTGAGGAGTTTGGTATGTGTGGCCAACTCGGAGTGACGCCTGAGGGTCCCACTGGGTGGGTGCCATGCTGGCCTCAGGGTCCCTACTGACAGTTGGAGCTCTGCGAGTGACCTGGGGAAGGAGGGTGAGAGCTGCATCCTTGTGTCCAGGTGGGCACCATCACCCCGGGTGCTTGCTCCCACTCCCCTGAAGCTGCCTGAGGACTGGCCATGGGGAGTCCACACACACCCTGGCCCAGCGGCGCCCCTCGCCTGGCACCTTCCCAGTGAAGGGCCGTGGGTGCTTGCATTGGGGGACCCTGCAGAGCATAACTGGGGAGGCCAGCTCTGGGGCTTCCTGCTTCCTTCACCCTCTGTGCTTACCCCTGGGCAGACTGTGACCTGCGGGATCTCCAGGACATGCAGGAGGAGGAGGGGGACACCAGCGATGGCATTGGCTTGGAGGTGGCAAGGAGCGAGACGGCAAAAGCTGTAAGTCCCTGAATGCCCACCTGCAAGGTCGGCTCTGCAACTGCCCGGGGAGGGGGTGGCGGCCAGGGCTGGGACCCATCCCTGTCCCTTGCCACCACGGTAGCTGCTGGGACTCATGATCCTCTCCGCTGCCTTGCTAATGCCAGTGGTGTTTCTGCTGTAGGTTCCTGTGGACCCTGCTCCGCCGCTGCCCACCACTCCCC